GCTTTGGATACAAATCCACTTTTGAAGGCATCCACAAACTGATTCTCAAATTTATACAGAAATGCAATATACCCATAAGAACCAAAACAGACTTGAAAAAGAAGAACAGTATTGGAGGATCAATGGCTCAACACCATCTGATTTCAAGATTTATTACAAAGCTACAGTAATCAGGACTATGTGGTTGTGGCATAAAAACAGACAAACAGACCAATGGAATGGATTTCAGAGGCCAGAAATAGACCCACACATATACACTGTACACAACCAATTTTTGACAAAGGTACAAAGGCAATTCAAGGGAAAAAGGATAGTCTTTTCAACAAAGGGTGCAGAAACAATTGGATCTACATATGCAAAAATATTACCTTCAATCTATATCTTGCTCCACATACAAAAATGACCTCAACATGGATGACAGACCTACACATAAAACAGAAAACAATGACTAGGTACATCACTTCTGAGTCCCAGTGCAAAATGAAAATGTAGGTCCCCTGGTTAAAAAAATTACTAAGAATATCAAGATGGCAAGATCAGAGCACTAACCCAAAAGTGGCATCTTTCTGAGTACAGGACCCTGTGTGACTGCATAAACTGCACACTATGAAACTACCTCTGCCTAAAAAAGTATAGATCTTCTAGGAGAAAACTTTTGTAACCTTGAGTTATGAAAGATATCTTAAATAGATACAATACCAAAGGCATGATTCATAAAGGAACAAATTGCTAAACTGAATGTCATCAAAATTAAAATTTTCTGTTCTCAAAAGAGATCATGAAGTGAATGAAAACACAAGGCACAGACTGAGAGATATTTGCCAAAAATGATAATAAATTTTAACATTGTTTGCTCATTTATTATGTGCCAGACACTATTTTAAGAACGTTATACAATTTCTTATATCTAGACAATATGTATATATGTGAGTGTATTTCATAAACACCTTATAAAACAAATAAAATTTGTATATTCATTTCAAATATGAAAGGTACAGGAATTTAAGAACCCAGCTTAACGATATAAAAGTAGTAAGCAAAGAAACCAAAATTGGAGCCCAAGCTGTAACATTCCAGAGCCCATGGTGTTTATAACTCCTAAGGTAAAAACAAATTCTACTTCTTTCTTCCCATTTTCTGTCTTTTAATCTGTCTAAGTTTAACATCACCACTTTTTTTTTCTTTTAGAGACAAGGTCTCCCTCTGTTACCCAGGCTGGTGTATAGTGGCATCATCACAGCTCACTGTAACCTCAAACTCATAGGCTCGTGTGATCCTCCTGCTTCAGCCTCCCAAGTAGCTGGGACTATAGGCATGCACTACCAGGACCAAAACATTTTTTTTTTTGTATTTTTTGACTTTTTGTAGAGACAGAGGTCTTGCTATGGTGCTCAGGCTGGTCTGGAACTCCTGGCCTCCAGTGATCCTCCTGCCTCAGCCTCCCAAAGTGCTGGAATTACAGGTATGAGCTAACATATTGGCCCAAAGCCACATACTTATTTAAACAGACTACCTTTCAAAACTGAAAAAAGGCATTTTTTGATAGCCACATCTGCCCAGCCATGTTCATTACACAACATCTTCCTGTAAGCCTTTTCCAAGACCTAGCAAACCAGGTTATCAGTGTTTCCGGGACTGATATCTGCAATCCAAGGGTAGCACAAGTTTGTAACGCTTAGTGCCTGATAAAGCAGCCTTGAGCTTGTATTGCCACATTGCCCAATTTACTCTTTTGGAGCAAGGGACATTCCTGCTGCAGAGAACATAGTGGTTTCTTATGCCCCTTAAGAATGCATGTGCCTCCTTCAGTGACCACTGACATCTAAAGAGCGACCAAGGCATGGGAACACTCATGTTTATCTGTGTGTCTGAGCCCACCTACTGTTTCCCTGGAGGCCATGGAGAAAGAAGTATCAAGTCCTGAAAAGGCAATATGCTTTGATATCCTTGTTTCATACAAACGCAGGGTGATTGTGAGTTGGAAGCGCCTGGGTGTTGCAGTTCACCAAGTGTCTTATTAGCATCGAGGAGAATGCATCCCAAGAGACAGCCACAGACCTCTTTGTCTGGAGGAAGGGTGTGTACACAACTCTGGTCACCAGGGCTTCCCAGCCAATTCTCCTATGAGTGTTTCATTCCAGGTTCCTATTGAGGCAAATTTGGGGATTCTCCAGTACTTTCATGGCAAAGGGCTTTGAGCTAGCCCATCTTATTTTTCACAAATACAAGTGAAGCACTTTGATGTAAAAGAGTCACAAACTAAATTTCCTTCTGTGCACAATAGAAATAATATAGCTTATAAGGTTTATCCAAAATCTGATCATTGCGGAGTAAACTCTGTTTTGAACTATCAGTGCTGGGAGCCTTTCATGACTTCAGCTTTGACATCATATAAAAGTGTCCACGGCTAAGAACACAAAAACATACATTGCATAGCCACTAGTATTCTCTGGTTTCATGGGCCAAAAAGTGCTGGATCGTATTCTTTATTCCCATTGTGTAATGTTTTATGTAGCACTTTAGTTTTTTAATGTCTTCATGCCTTCCAACCTTCAAAACAGGGAATACAATAACTGCTTCTGCCTACTTCCCCAGCAGGATTTAGGGATCACATTTTTCCTGGGTGTTCTTCGATTATGAGGCTGAGGTACATTCCTTCAAAGCTCCCCCTACCTCACACACACAAAGTAACTCTGGTCTCTCTAACTTTAAGCCAGTTGCACAGGGCGCCTCCAACAAAACCTGAAACTTTGGCATTGCTTGTCATATCCAGGGCATGGTTCTCTGAGATTTAGCAAATTCTAAAAAGATGGATATGACTGTTCCTTTGTGTCACATATTTAAAACAAATTTTAATTTTAATCAAATAAGGATATGTAAAGATTTAAATGTGAGTATGCCCTGGGCATATTAGCATAGTTTTATTTTGTCAAACAGAGAAGAATCTTGGGTTCTTAATTTTTAAGCAGTTTTTAAACACTAGGAAAGAGAAAAATCAATGTAACAAAACATCTATACATATATCCATTTATCATCACCAGCTCTGATGATATGACGGGCTCTAAGATAACTACTTGTACCCAGTAGTCCTCCCTCTCCCAACTTTCTATCTAAAATCACAATATTGTCTCCTGTGCATTTATATTAATTTAAGAATGTGTATGACTATGCCTATCTTTAAAAGAAAGTCCTTCTTTCAGGTTTTATAATTCTGATTTTCTTGATAAATATGTATATATACACCATCTATGTATGCACATAAATGAATGAGAATGTCAGTTGTTTCCAAACAATTATTACAGGCAGTAACATATAAATAAGGATTGGAGGAGAGGAGGGTTATTGCATCTACCTGTGAAACCAGCATTAAATAGTTGCTCCTCATTTCATCAGGAAAAAGGAATGTGCTCGGGGGAAATAGTAGTGCAATAGTCATAAAGTACTGACATGGCTAAACAAAATATCTGCCTGGTGCAGGTATTTCAATTCTGGGAAGGGAAGTAGGAAGAAAGTGAAGTACATACATAGGGTAGACAGGAAGAAATGTGGGCCCTGTCTCTTTCTCTCAATTATCTATGAAAATGAAGGCACCAATCCATGTCATGTACACGAAGGAAGAAAATTCTTGGGTTAATTCATCTCCAAGCGTGTCTAAAGGTGGGAGGGTTTGCAGAGTGAAGGCCCTCAAAATTCATTTCCCCATTGAGTGAGGATTTTTATGCTCATTTCTCATCTGAAGGGCTCAATTTTTTTCTTGAAGGGTACACACAATGCTCCACCAAAGTTCATTGTGCAATTTTGTTTTGAACCCTTAAAGGACAGTTTTTCCATTAGAACTCTAACACAAAAACGCCCTTAATTAACAGGCTTTTTTTTTTTTTTTTTTTTTTGCAGGGTGGGGCCCAAGCAGGACCCCAGAGACGGGAAGAGTGAATTTTAATGCTTTGCTGCCAAAGGAGGAGACTCTGGACATTCTCATCACCTTATTTATAGCGGGGTACGCTGATTAATACGTGAAGCGGTGCATTAATGGCCTAAATTAAGTTACAGGTATGAATTTTACATAAAACGGATTAATATTATATGTCATGGTGGAATTTTAAATACTCCGTGTCCATGCATTTTTAATCTTTACGTGCTCTAATTTAATGTGCAAGGCAATTGCATTTCTTGAGCCCACTTTTGCATCTAGATGGGTAAAAGAAAGCCAAGAAAACCCCACCACCACGTTTTTGTTTTATTTATCTGTCCCTTCACCAAAAACCCTGCATTCGATTCGGCATTCTTTTCTTTTTTGTAAATACTTTTGCTAAGCTTTTGCGTTTTTTTTTTTTTTAAAAAGAAAACGGAAAGGCTACACATTCCATTCCATCGTTATGGTTTAGGCACTTGTGAAAAGGCGCATGATAAAATAGAGGAGGGAAATAGAGAACAGAACGAACGTGCCTTGTTCGTGCGTCTTTCTCAAGGCACTGGAATCCCAGGGCTGGAGTGACGGGTGGCGAGGGTCCCCGCGCCGCGCTAGTAGAAGTGGCAGGGCGGCCGCGAGCAGGGCCCGGCGCTCCCTCGGCAGCCTAGGCGGGAAGGGGGGTGAATGCCAGCCGCACATTCCCGCAGTTCTTCGCTGGAACTTCGCTCTCTCTTCTCCCCTCCCTTGGGCACGCACCAGCCTGGCCCAACTCCCACCCCGCTCTCTTTTCTCAGAACCCCGACCCACAGCGTTGACGGAATGGAGTGCCCTTCCCATTGGCCCGAGCGTCGTTCCCTGAGGTGGCACTGCCCGCCTGATTGGCTGGCCACTCCCGACCCCCCGCCCACTCCCCGCTCGGGCTGCCCGGCTCCCCGCCCCCCAGCGCCGCCCGAAGCCCCCGCCCGCCTCCTCCCTCCGCGCCCCCGCCCGCGCGCCCGGCCCGGCTCCGCTCGGCTGGCGCGGCGACCCGGCCCGCGCGCTGGCCCCGCCCCCGGGGCGCGCGGCGCTATAAATGCAGCTGCGCGCCGGGCTGGGCGAGAGCGTAGTGGCGGAGGCGCGGCTGCGAGTAGTTCCCCGAGTGCGGAGAGCTCGGCTCGGGGCGCGCGGGGCGGCGGCGCCCGGCTTAGTCCGATCTCCGCAGGGAGCGACTAGGAGACCCGGGTGGGCTACTTTGCTTCCGGTGTTTTCGATTTTTTCCTGCCTTGGGTTCGGGCCGAGTGTCGCCCCCTGAGCAGACATCCCCGCGCAAAACCCGGAGCGACCCTCCCGTCAATTGTCGGGCTCGGGATCGCCGCGAGCGTCGCAGTGCCCCGAGCGCGCCGGGCGCGGAGGCAGAGGGCGCGGAGCCGGCCGCGGGCGGGGGCCCGGAGCTTTCCTGCGCGCCTCGCTCGCCGCGGAGGGTCCGCTCGCGCAGGGCGCAGGGCGCGCGCCATGAAGGCGGTGAGCCCGGTGCGCCCCTCGGGCCGCAAGGCGCCGTCGGGCTGCGGCGGCGGGGAGCTGGCGCTGCGCTGCCTGGCCGAGCACGGCCACAGCCTGGGCGGCTCGGCGGCCGCGGCGGCGGCGGCGGCGGCAGCGCGCTGCAAGGCGGCCGAGGCGGCGGCCGACGAGCCGGCGCTGTGCCTGCAGTGCGATATGAACGACTGCTACAGCCGCCTGCGGAGGCTGGTGCCCACCATCCCGCCCAACAAGAAAGTCAGCAAAGTGGAGATCCTGCAGCACGTTATCGACTACATCCTGGACCTGCAGCTGGCGCTGGAGACGCACCCGGCTCTGCTGAGGCAGCCGCCGCCGCCCGCGCCGCCGCACCACCCGGCCGGGACCTGTCCGGCCGCGCCGCCGCGGACCCCGCTCACGGCGCTCAACACCGACCCGGTGAGCGGCCGGCGCCAGCGGGGGCGGGCACCGCGGGTTCTGGGGTGCGCGGTGGCGGGGTGGCGGGACGCGGGCGCTCACCCTCCCCCGGGCAGGGGCCGCCAGAGAATGACAGCCCCCTCCCCCTCTCCTCCGGGGGCCCGGGCCGCCGCTGCCTGCTGGGCTCGGCGAGCGCGTCCGGGAGAATGCGCGGGGCGGGACTCGGGGCTGGGCGCATCCTGGGCTGTCAAGTCGCGCCCGCGCCCGGAGGGCCCCGGGCTGCAGAGTGGGGTGGGGGCGTCGGCGCGCCCGCCCGGTTTCCGAGGCCGAATCCCGGACCGTGGCGAGGGCGTCGTCTGCGCCCGCTAACCTTTCCCTTGCTGTTCGGTTGCTGTTCCAGGCCGGCGCGGTGAACAAGCAGGGCGACAGCATTCTGTGCCGCTGAGCCGCGCGGTCCAGGTGAGCGCGCATTTCCCGTCTCGGGTGGCCGGTCGCCAGAGAAGCCCGTCCCCGGGGGCTTCCGGTGCCAGGCACCGGGTGTTCTTTGCCCCCAGCATTTCTGAGGGCAAACTCCCAAGGAAGCAGACAGACATCCTTTCTCTCCCTGCCACCCAGTTAGTAAGTGAACCCGTACTCCGCTTTAGAACTCGGGGTTCGCTCTCAATGGAGACAAATCGGCTCCTGTCCCCGCCGCCCCCGGGTCTCTCCTGGGGACCAGCGGGCTTTTCCTGCCCTCCCGACCCCCCAAGACAGGCTACCCTGGTGGGCGTGGAAGCTGTCCCGACGTCTCCCCCGCGCAGGCTGGCACCCGCTGAGGGGGACGCGGGCAGGGACCCGCAGGGGGTCTCCTCTCCGGGCTTCCTGGGGGCCCGCAGCTGCCTGCTGGGCGCCTGGCCCGGCCGCGGGCTTCGGGTGTTGTCTGACCTGGTGGTTTGTTTTGGGTTGTTGATCAAGCATGTCTTGAGTTTGGTCGGTGGCGCCAGTTAGTCTGCAGCGAGAAGGTTCACACACCCCCTCTATTCATTCCTCTTCCACAGGTGTGCGACCGCCTGAGCCCGAGCCAGGAGCACTAGAGAGGGAGGGGGAAGAGCAGAAGTTAGAGAAAAAGCCACCGGAGGAAAGGAAAAAAAAAAAAAGCATCAACAAATCTAGAAACGTTTGCATTCGTCATTCCAAGAGAGAGGGGAGAGGAAAGAAAAATACAACTTTCATCCTTTTTTTTGCACGTTCATGAACATTCTGCATACATATTCTCTTTTGTCTCTTCATTTATAACTGCTGTGAATTGTACATTTCTGTGTTTTTTGGAGGTGCAGTTAAACTTTTAAGCTTAAGTGTGACAGAACTGATAAATAGAAGATCAAGAGTAGATCCGACTGTAGAAGCCTACTTTGTGACCAAGGGGCTCAATTTTTGTTTTGAAGCTTTACTAATATACCAGAGCATTGTAGATATTTCTTTTTACATCTATTGTTTAAAATAGATGATTATAACGGGGCGGGGAACTTTCTTTTCCCTGCAAGAATGTTACATACTGTATAGATAACTGAGTGACATTTCATACCATGTATATATAGAGATGTTCTATAAGTGTGAGAAAGTATATGCTTTAATAGACTACTGTAATTATAAGATATTTTTAATTAAATATTTTTTGTAAATATTATGTGTGTGTTTTTTTAATCTATGGGAATATTTCTTTTGGAAAATTATTTTTCAGCTCAATTGCAGAGCTCTTGATATCTTGAATGTCTTTTCTGTTTGGCCTGGCTTTTAATTTGTTTTTGTTTTGCCCAGTATTGTAGACTCGGAAGTAACAGTTATAGCTAGTGGTCTTGCATGATTGCATGAGATGTTTAATCACAAAATAAACTTGTTCTGAGTCCATTCAAATGTGTTTTCTTTAACCTAGATTGAAATCTTTGTATTTGAAACCTACATGTTGAAAATATACCTTATCAGTTTTTAAGTCCAGGGTTTTATAGTGTAACATAGAAAGAGTGTTTTTGGTTTTTAGCTGAGGTCAAAATGGATTCTGAATGATTTTGCTTATGGGATGAGGAAATGCTTGGATCCTTAAGGAGTTTATGAAATCTGTTGTTTTATCGAAGTGAAAAAAAATTGCTTATCACTCTTCATTTTACACTAAAGCTTAATGTCACTAAGTTTCATGTCTGTACAGATTATTTAAATCATAGAAATGAAAAATGTTCTCTGCTTGCTACCAAAGGACAAACTCTTGGAAATGAACACTTTCTGCTTTCCTTCCTCCAAAGAATATTAATAGCAAACAGTGGGAAAAAAATTAAAAGGCATAATGGCAAATCCTTCAAGCAGGGATAAAAGTCGATCTTCAAACATTAACTTAAGTAGACCAAAAATTCTGATGACCACATCTAGATTATTTTTTTATAAAAATGATTTTCACTACAGCAATGTTAGTTACTGCTAAGCTACTGTCCAATCTCTTGTGATGTGTAACTTTTACATGTGAATATTAAAGTAGATTTATCTGTCTTGTACTGTGATTTCTGGTCTCATTTCTTTAAAACCTTATACTTATTTTTTACGACTCTCTATTCTCCTTAAGGAAGGTAACATTTTCTAGGTTAGGTAGGACTGTCAGGGTTTGTGAACATTACACATTTAATGTGATGGGTACTTTTCACACAAGTTAGGTGGAATTTTTAGAGTGAAAGAATTAAGTAGGATTTAATTGGGTGCTTTGTAAATAGTCAACTGTGTGTAAATCTGTTTGATTTTTTAAGGGAAAGGATTTGTTTCAGATTATACAAGAATAAAAGTATTATGGACCCAAGGGACTTTTTATCAGGTCCAATTCAAATATTTATATGAATATGAAATATCATGGTCCCTAGTAGTTGAAGTGGCAATGTCTAAACAGAAATTAACAAAATTATTGCTAATAAGTTAAAATCAATCAAAAGGTTTAAAAATCTCCTATTTCCAGCTCAGCTCTGTTATCCCCTCAGCTCTGATAGTTTACTGGTCTCGGATATTTTTAGAATTTGGTGTATTTGATGTTGAACCTTATAAAGTCAAAGGACTACTTGTTTAGATGAGGTTTATTTTTATTTTTTTATATTATTCATTCGTGTCACACATCAAGAAGAAAACACTAGAACACTGCTGGAATTCCAAATCTGAAGAATTCTAACGATTGCATTCTTTGTTATTAAAAAGGGCACAATTCTTCCTTTTTATTTGGCAGTTTAATTTCAGTAGGAAGCATGTCACATGTGCGCTGTTGGTTAGAATTATGCATCTGTCATGCCTGACTGCTGAACCTTACCTAAACCTTTGGACACAGTTTAAAACTTACACTGGTGGACTATGAACTTCAAAACAAAATGGATATTTTTTGGAGATAGATGTTGCTCCTTAGTTAAATTTATATTTTGGGCATGAAAAACTAGTCAAAGAACAGTGTTATAGATACTACATTTCAGAAAGTTGGCATTTTCCCGTTGGCCACTGAAGCAGCATTTGATGTCTCTAAAGAAATAAAGTCATTGTTTATTTTAAAAAATTATATGCACTCGTACAAGATGTTACATTCCATTAAAATGTTGGCTATGTCCTAACCAAGCAACCAGATAACAAAAAATATTTTGAGTCTTTTATCTAGGTAGTTCTAATTTTTCAGATATTTAGTTTAGCAAAGGAAAATATCCTGGCTTCTCATTTAATTCGTAGTAGACTTTTCATTGTATAGGCACAACCAAAGAGTAAGACTCATTTAAAACCTTCTAAGGAAAAAAGTATCCCGCACAGTGGATGTTTTTTCTAAGGTTGTTATAAAATGCTAACACCTCAGGCATCTCATGTTAAAAGAAGAGAGAAAAAAAACCTAATTTCAAATAACTAATATACTTTGAAATTGTGTAAATCTTACTTAAGTTTATTGTCAAGCTTTAACTGCATTTTTAGAACTCTTTACAATTCTGACCCCACAAATCTAATGTATTAGATGACTTCTAGAACAATAAATCCTCACTGAGCAAAAGGTTCTGAAGTTTGTGGTTTTTAATTGACTTTTACTGAGTTATGCGATTTTTCATTATCAAGAATGGGTCTCTTGATGGATCACCTCAATTATTTACAGTGTTTCTTACCATGTGATGAAAAATGGTGATATGAATGGAAAGAAAATCTAGTTTGAATGCTGGGGAAAGCTTTTCTTTACTCTTTAGCGCCTGCTAAGATAGGAAGCAATATTCTTAAAGAAGGCAGCAGGATGATGTCCAGGGAAAACTAGATTTAAAAAAAAAAAAGTTAAATAATGCAGACAGAAATTATTTCACAGTAGTACAGAGCCAAGTAAGACTGGCTCTGCCTTTCTAGCTGGTGCACTTTAATTATATATATGTTAATCAGCTCAGAGAGCCCTTGGGTCTCAACAGGGCCAAACACCAAACTCTCCAGGCTTGTGAAGAAGGAAAAGTTTCCTGCTTCTGCTTTGCATGTCCAGAAAATTAATTTACCCACTTCAGAATGAATCTTAATATGGCTGCTCTTAGTAGGTGTTCTTCAGACCTATATAATGTCTTTCAATTACAACCTGTGACATTTTGCTACAATATGACATATTAATTAGAACTATTGCCCAAAAGCTTTCAGAATTGTAACTTTACTTACAGTTCTACCCCGAGTACTGATTCAATCACTACTTTAAAAGATACAGAACCCCACCCCCCAAAAAAAGAACTAATTTATCAAGGGAGACAACCCGCAGTCATATATACTTAATTGAAAATGCTCTCAAATTTTCAATGAATTTTTAGAAGTATATATTGCATTCAAGTGCCTCCTTCATACTTATTCATATCCTGATTCCTTCGAAAAAGTTTTACCTAAGTGCTAAAATTTAGGTCTGAACCACATTGCCGAAGGTTTTCTATTTTCACCAAAGCAAAGCAAGTCAGTGGTGGGCTGCAGAAGCTAGTTTCATCATTTAGAAGTCTTCACAGCAAAATCACACATGGGGTATGGAAAGAGAGCTGTAAAAATTGAAGGCAATTTGAAAAGCCCCTCTAAGTCCATAACAAAGTAAACACATCCATTTCTGGTGAAAGAAGAACAAAATGTGTGACCTATAATCCGCTCGCTAAAATATGACTAAAGGCAAATTGACCTTAATATGTTTAAATAAGAGACCCAAAACAAATTTCTACATGAATCCACTGGTATCTGAAATTTTTTCTAATAAGAAATTTCATACTTTAGAGAAGAATTTTCTAGGAGATTATATAAATATTGGCAAAATATGCAAATTCCTGGTAAAACAAGGCACTGTTATCTGCTTTTAATTACTGTTTCTCAATTCTATATGAAATACTGATCAGTACTTTTGGCATGCATATAAAAGTCAAATTTTTAAATTTTATCTTTTATTCCAAAGTTTAATTTCCAAAGGAAAGTATTACAGTTCTACAGATCTTCATACAAATTCGTAATGTTTCCTAAGTATTTATTTGAATATTTTAAATATTCCTTAAATACTTTAAGCATTTTCTTAAATACTTAAAATATTTCTTAAATATTTACTACTTCTTTCATAAGCTTTAGCAGTCAATTGAGAGACTATAGTTGTATTTGTGTGAGTGTGTGTGTCTAAAAATAGTCAACATACAGAAAAATATCTTTCAAAAGGAATTTTCACTCTCTGTATATGTAAGCTATATTAATTTTCCTCCATTTTGTCTCCACTTTTTCATCCCTAAGATTGGAAATTTCTATAAAGATGCACCTTCCATTTTTTTGTACTGCAATAACCAAGCATGTTATATTTAAACATAAGGCAGGATAGGAAATAAAGAGCAGGTAAATTAATAGTTATGTTTATATCATATCTTAGAATTTGGTTTTAGCCTCACAAGAAATCTCAAAAAGAAAAGAAAGAAAAAAAAGAAAGTGAGAGAGAAAATGGGGGAAGTACTTATTTGTATGTCAAACCTCAGAGAAAGCCAAGGAAACAGCCATAAACTTACAGACTAAAATTTTGCACTTTCTTGCAGCAATAATTCTTGGAAACACTTTTCATACACATTGAACCTGAGTCCGGGTCCATAGTTAAAACAAAGTAAGCTCCTTAAAGTAGAAGACTGTGATCATTCTTTGTGTGTCCTGCAGTGCCTAACCAAAGCCTTGTAAAATATCTGTTAAACTAAATCAAGAACTAAATCAAGAATTCCTCCCTAAGACAGTCTCTTCCCAGAGCGCTCAGTTACTCGTTGGCCCTTTCGTCTGCATTGAACTGCAACTGAGTTTCAAACCAGTATCTCTAACTGCCTTCTGGTCCTCTCTGCCTCTGAAAAGCAGTAGATTGGAAATAGGATTTGATGGTGTCCCCCCAAACTGCCACTCTTTCTGGATTCTCACCTTGGCTAATGACACCTGTGATTGCCGAGGTCAGAAACTTGGGAATTCAGCTTGACTGTCTCTTGCTCCATCGTACTTAATAGAGGACAAAAATCCCTGCTGAAATTTTCTGAGATCCTCCGGGTTCCCAGCATCACTGCCACTCTGTCAGTCTGTGCCCTGTCCACCTCACATCTGGACTCGAGGTGGGCTTCTAATCTAGTCTCTTCGTGTCATCTTTAGCAGTCTTTTTTTTCTACCTTCCATGTGAATCTAACTGCACGACTCCTCGACAGTCGCCCTCTGCCCACACAGGGAAGTCCAGTTCCTTGGACCAGCATGTAAGACCCCTAGGAGGTGGACCTACGGATCCTTCAAGAGTAGTTCCCCACCAGTCCTTTCTCTCCCCCACTTCTGGCTGTCTTTATGCTAAGATCTTGTCCTGTGTGTGCTAGACAGCAATGCATGCTTTGACAGAGTGTGATTGTCTTGACAGAGTGTGATTGATTTCCAGAGAGTTAAGAAGGGAGCAGCCCTCTGGGAGAGGACACGTAGACTGTGGAGCCATGGGGGTGGAGCAGGGGCCACCTGTCTGGACAGCCAAAGCAGCTAAGTCAGCCTTGCCCACTTGTGGGTAAGAGCCAAACCATCCACATCCAAAGTGGCATGCTCTCTCATGCCCCCTTCCTTCACACATCCCTGTCTGGATTGCTGGACACGCGATCCCAGTCTGAGCTGTTCTTAAACTCCTACCTAACCATCCTTCAAGACTCAACTGTGACCATTTTTGCAAACAATTATTTGATGTCTGTGTGCTCCTCACCCTCAAAATAGCCTCCTTCCCTGCCATGTTACAGTATAATTATTTTCACATGTCTGTGTTCCTGGTAGATCCCTGACTCTCCAAGGATTCCAGACCACAAGTACTAGAAGAACATTCCTGTAACTCTCTGTGCCAGCAAATCTGGCAAATTCTTTGCAGCTCAAAATTGCAGCTGAGAGATTTTCATTATCTTTAAAAGCCTTTGGCTGCCTTAAACATGGAAAACAGATAAGCCGTGTGTTCTTGAGAATGAGGGAGTGTGGTCAGCCTCGGGTAGAGGGCGGGAAGGAGAAACTGAGAAGGGAAGAAGAGTGGCAGAGCCGATCTTGCATTCCCAGGAAAGAGAGAAACATCCCTGACCCACGGTGGGATAAATAAACGAGGATGCGTCAGTGCCCGGGATGAAGATGTGGGCAAGACGGGATGACTGCCACTGACGCAGGATGTGATGGGGACGAATGCATGCAGTAGGAAGGGGGGACTTGGGAAAAACTGTACGGTCAGGTCTCTGCGTGTGTGTTTTAGGCCTCTGCTCTCATGCGCTGATGAAGTGACGTGGGATAGGTCAGCCACAATAAATGCGGTGAATCCTCATGAGTCAGTCCTGAAAGGACAAGCTTGCCGCACGAATGAAAGCCTTTTGCAGATAGAAGGTCTCATTACCCGACCATGATCTGGGGCCCTAGAAGTGGAATCGTATAATTATAAACCTGAAATGTGTCTGGTTAACATTCCTCTCATTTCCTTGTGAGGGAAGGAGAGGTCAAAAGGTGAAACCATTGAGGCAAGTCTAGAACCTGGTCTCTCTGTCTCTGAACCGCGGCCACAAAACTCAGTATGAATGGATCCTACTCCAGTTCATTCTTTGGCAGCTTATCTTGCTCTGTGTCCTAATCTACAACTTGCTTCAAGTTCTTTCCTAACAAGGTGGGGTCAAATCTTAAGCAAATAATTATTAAATGTTGGACTAATCTGGCGGCCTTTTGAAAAAGAGAACAGAGGTAAAGTATTTTTATAACAAGGATCAAGATTTGCAAAGCTCTTTGACAAACGAGCAAAGGCAATTCAATAGAGAAAGTATAGTTTTTTTTTTTTTTTCAACAAACGCTACTAGAACAATTGGATGTTCACAATTAACTTAGACACAGACCTTACACCTTTCATAAAGGGTATCCCAAAATGAATCATAGACCTAAAGGTAAAGTGAAAAACTTGGAACATTCTAGAAGAAAACCTAGGAGAAAAAAAATCTGTGTGATCTTGGTTTGGTGATGAACTTTTAAATGTAACACCAAAAGCACAATTCATGAAAGAATTTCAACCTACATTGTCCACCATAATTATATCACCATATCTGTGTGTGCAGACTCACCCTTCAGTCTATGGAAGCAGTGTGCTGTGAGGAAGGGAATGAAAAGTCAGGTCAAGCCAAAAGACTTAGGTTCTAGTCAAACCCCTGCAACTCATCAGCTGTGTTCTTCAGGCAAGTAACTTTCCCACACTCAAATTGCCCCATCTGTAAAATGGGTACATAATTATAATAACCTAGCTCAGACGTTCTCGAAAGATAGAAAGTAACATATACAAAAACATTTTATAAGACAATGATTATAATCTTGGTATATATAAAATTCATCTGGAGAGATTCTCAAATCATAGATTCCTGAGTTCCAACAGTCTCCTTTTCCCCACCGCTGAGACTCTGATTCATCGGGTCTAGGGGAGGGCTCAGAAGTCTGCGCTGTAGGTTTTCTCTGGTGAGTCTGAAGCAGGTCTCCCAGGAACCCCATTTTGAGAAACAGTCTTGTAAGCTATAAAATGAT